TCACATCGAAGCATGAACGGATCCGTGTAAACACTGTTTCAATCCGTACCGAAATGTGGACGGTTCCGCGTGAACAGTGGAAACTGTCCTAAAACCGAGGTGTCCTCAAACTTGACCGGCCCCGTGTGAACGTAGCGTAATTATTTATAAGTAAATTCAGTACAGATAGGAAATCGATAAAAATCGATGAAAATCGATAAAATCGATAATCACAGCAAAGCTGAATATCGATTTTTATCGATTTCCGATAATGATCGATCGATTAGTTACGGTTTGTATCGATTAGTATCGATTTTATCGATTAATAGATTTCATCAATTAGTTACGCCGGGTCAAGAATTGCCCCACAAAAGTTGTCCTTCGTTTAGCAGCCATATATGGTAATCTTACCTTATTTGGAAGTAYGATAAGAATGGTTTTTGCCGATTTTCTCGAATTTTAAAGCTTGAAATCGTCTGAAACTTGCAGATATTATAGCGAAAACACKTCTCAACAATCGGCCATTTTGTTTGTTTCCATATATGGCATGGATTCGCTAAAGGAAGCCCAAAACTAAAAAGAACAGGGAACCCGCACGAATGACAAAACTCACCTTCAGAAAGCAACATCCGAGAGCTTAATTTGAAGATGATCAGTGTAGCCCCTAACACTTTGCTGACATTGATTGTAATGCAATATTGTCTTGTAATGTAATGTAAACTTTTGCGTTTTATAATAATTGTGTTTGCTTTTGAATTAGCCGGTGTGGTAAAAGATTGCAGCTATTAGTGGTCATTATTTGATTAAAAAATTGAAAATTTCAGAGAGGTGATGTTTGTCTTCCATTTGAGTCTGTTTAGAGAGTAATGACATCTCATTTAGTGTCCATGCGTAGTTCGCTATGTAAGGATTCAGTCTCCCTGGCGTCGCCTTAGCTTCTCCTACGTGCAAAGTATACATTTGAAGCATGTTTTGGTATCGAAGTCAGTACATTATCATAATCAAAACAGGAAAGGAAAAAAAACATTAAAAAAAATGTCCAGCCATACTCTTTTATGAAAAGAAAACATCTAATATGTAAACATCCGTTGATTGTAATGTAATATTGTCTTGTAATGTAAACTTTTGCGTTTTATAATAATTGTATTTGTTTTTGAATTAGCCGGTGTGGTAAAAGATTGCAGCTATTACCCAGGCTCAAACAGGCTCAAACATCCGTGTTTTGACGTCAGGCACTGACGTCATCGAGCCTTAAAGCCGACTTAAAACGAACATTTATTGTACTTATCTATCTAAACTATCTCAGTATCTAGTTAAAAGACTATTCTGCCGCGAAAAGTACAGCTGTCTCAAGATCTGGCCAACACAGCCAGCTCTTTTATCCCACAATGTTGGCAGAATGTAGTGGTGAGCTGTTTGAAAGCTATATGTGACAACAGAGTTAAATTTACCGTATACACGCAGGAATATTACAGCTATAATGGTCGATTTCTGAGCAAATAGTGGGTTTAGTCTTGTTTTTCACAGGGCGCCCAGGCTCAACAGTTGTGTTGCTTTCACGGCGGTGTAATGTGTTGCGTGATTCGCGGTTCGAGCCCTCATGAAGCCTTAAATTTTTTCTAATTCATTTCTTGAGACTTTGCAAGACTTTTTTCTTTTTTTTCTTTTTTCTTTAATAAGTATAAACATTTTTATGAATAAAGATTGAAAAATATAAAAATGGCTTTAAAAATCAATCTTTATTCATAAAAATGTTTATACTTATTAAAGAAAAAAGACAAAAAAAGAGAAAGTCCTGAAAAGTCTCAAGAAATGAAGTAGAAAAAATTTACGGCTTCATGAGGGCTCGAACCGCGAACAACGCAATACATTGACACCGCCGTGAAAGCAACACAACTGTTGAGCCTGGGTGCCCTGTGTTTTTTTAGTCAGACTAGCCGAAATGCTTCTTGCGCTTTTATGTGATAAAAAACTATTCGTTTACAAATGTGGTATCTGTGATCTCATCGGAATGCATCTGTCTAGGCATCAATAGTACGCGCATGTGCAGATCGCATGGAGCTTCGAGTTGTATGCTTAGGAATCTGAATAATGACCTTTCTAGTGTTAAACAGTCTTGTGTGGGCAAAGATTTCAAATTAGAACAAGAAGAAACTTTGTTTATCAATAACAGAAAGGCGAATTTAATGACTTTATAGGCATCTTTTTCCTTGTAAAGTATTTATTTTCTTGGCCTGAGAGGTCAACGTAGATATCATGATATCACCGGCTATTTTGGAAAAAAATTAAGAAATATTTTTATCCATGTAATATCCTGTCTTTCTCCATTTTCAAAAGCAGCTAGTCCGACTTCACGCTCCAAGAGCGTCTAGTTTAAGTATTCGCGCCCGCGATCATCGACCCGTGACAGCATTGCGTGACTGCCTTCATTTGCATACAGGACGTCTGCTCGAAAACACACACAACACATCGATCTTTTGAATTACAATTTTTTTTTTAACCTTACAATGTTCGCCTTCAAAAACCTAACTAAACTTGGTGTAACATCAGCGTACGCTTTTTGCAGACGGGCCGACATTGCTGTGTCCACACAGCTCGTTTCGACATTGCAACACAACACGAAACCTTTCTCAACACTGAAAACCGATAGAAGAAGTAAACTCGGACTTGAAGAAGCAAGGATGGCGAATTGGGAAGGTCGTGTTGACCTAGCTGCAGCATTTCGGGGATTGGAGATGATGGATTTTCACGAAGGGATTTGTAATCATTTGAGTCTTATCGTTCCTGCGGAAAATGGCGACGGCGAAGTTATGCTTATGAATTCTCATGGAAATCATTGGAAAGAGGTTAGATATATCTGGTRCCGTTTAAAAATAGCTTGAGTATGATCAGAGTTTTGAAGGATTGCATAAACTGKTACAAGAATTTCTCAATGGCAAAAGACCAGGGCATCGTATTTCAGCAATATTGTTTTGCCACAGGGCTCCCATGCTCGAATGGTTAACATGACCTGTATTTACATGAGGGATTACGAGCGATTCCTTTATCGATAGAAGCTAAAATTTTAACGSCTTCTAACACTAAGTCAAAATAAACCTTTTAAAATAAAATAGCAATAAAATAATATAATATAATATAAAGAAAGTACAAAAAACATCAGAAACCATCCAAACATCTTTTTTAAGTAATGCCCCGAGTAAGAACTAGGCCCGGAAGCAAACGGCACAGGAATGCAAGAAGGTGCTAATTGCGCATTGTATAATCCATCCATCCCATTGGTTAAAACATGAAAATCTGCTGTAATTTCACAAGTTAGCGAATTTTCTAATATTTTATTTAATGTCTGTTTTCGCTTTCATGAAAGCTTTCTTTAGCTTCAATATTAAGGCAATTCTATGTGGGGAACATTGCAAATTAGAAGCATCTTTTGGCTATTGTTTTGAGTGCTAATGATTGGATAAGAGCTTTTAATACAAAAGAAACTTTGTTTCAAAATAGAGTTTATCCACATTTTATTTCAAAAATGTGTTACCCACAGGTTAATACATAATCAGTGTGAAAACCAAGACATTCGTACATGGGGAACTTGCTATGCCGCAGAACAATAGAGAGCTCCCTAGTTCTTTAGCGCATTGTTACTTAAACATTCTTTATCTCTATATATCTATGATATCGATGCTCATTATCTTTAACGTGTTTGTCTGCAGATAGAACCCGAGTCCCTAGTTGGTATAAATGAACAAGGAGACACTGTCGAAGGAACGGGAGACGTTGAAATATCCGCGAAGACCATACATCTTGGTATCCACCAAGCGAGACCCGACGCGAAGTGTGCGTTTCATGTCCATCCGCCGTACACAACAGCAATGGGTAAATAATTATTGTCTTTTGTACTCTGTTATAGACTAGGCGCAAACTAAAGTCGTAGAGGCATTCCCG